GTGGGGAAGTTGACTCTGGTTTCCTTGAAAATGTCAAATTCCCCAGGGTGGGGGGCGGGGAGGCGGTGGGGGCAGACCCAGTATTGATAGGTGCATTGTAGTCAGACGACTTTTACGAGCAGTAGTAGACGCGCCCAGCGATCTTATGACCTCAGTAGTGAGTATACGTAAGAATGAAAAACCCGTCCAACATCCAAAATATCCATGAATAGAGGCCATGGCCAGTAAAACAAGTCATTTGGTGAGCATATTGAGTGACTTCCAGCAGAAAACAACAACCCTTTGAATTCGTAGAACCTCGCTGTGCGAATCATATAAGCCCGCAGTAATCATCAATCAGTCAATCGGCGATTTCAACCAAACTGTAATGAATTTTTACAAATTGACGTCAGTTTTTCACGCGTCTGTCCTGTTATGAATTTCGTCAAACATTGTCAAAGTACCGGTAGCTGTGGATCCACGAGGCGATAGTCGAGTGGATCCGCAGAGTACTTTGACAATGTTATGACGAATTTGATGACTGAGGTCAATTTGTTTTTTACGATAGCAAATTAATAGACCATTTTACAGTTGTCTGCTCAGAGACCTGGCCTTTGAATGACAGCGACGCTGGAGGTGACCTTGCTTTGATACAGGCCTCTCCGCTTTTGTTGTGTCAAACGAAGTTGTTCTAATGTTAATTAGGTGCATTTACATGACAAAAGCAGAGAGGTCTGTATCAAAGCAAGGTCAGCTCCAGCCTCGCTGTCATTCAAAGGCCAGGTGCCCGAGCAGACAGCTGTAAAATGGTCCATTGTCCGCTCTCGCTCGTTCACGCATCGCATTAATTATAAATTCATGTGTCTGTCCGCTTATTGACAATGAAAATTCGCCAATGAGCGCGCGAGAATAAAATAATAGCTGTATTTGCACAGGTAGCCCAAGCTCCTTTTGGAACCGTCAACATGACATTGGGTAACAGCGTTATTATAAGAGTTTGTATGTGAATATAACGATCGTACAAAATTTTTTCCGCCCTGGTTCAGAAACTCAAAAATCTCACACGTAACACTTCTCTTCCTTTTAGCTCTAATGAGACTGTCACTAACATTTCCTCTCGTAGTCTCACGTCAGAACAACTCGACATTCTCAAATTTGGATCAACACATTCCATCCGTCCGAGTCAGATGTCTTCACATGCTTTGAGCTTATCAATCACACCATGGCAAAGAACTTGAGGGACACCAA